TGAGTTGCGTTCAAGCCGCCAATGCTAACAGCTCTCCCTTGCCCTTCCGCCTCTCTGCCTCTGCAGTGGACGTGTGTGGATCCAGCAACGGCAACCCGTGTGCGGTGGGCACGTGTGTGAATGACGGGGCGGGGTCGTACTCGTGTGTGTGTCCACCGGGCTTCAGGCAGGGCACCACCGTCGATGGCACCTTCTCCTGCGCTCCAGGTACCTTCTCCCGTTCTCCAAAGTACCTGCTTTGTGCTTGGGCCATGAACTGCCATGAGCATTTGCAAGTCTGGCTAGTCTCGTGTGACGAGTGACACGGCTGCTAACTCTTCCCATGTGAAAAGGAATCTCAACTGACCTCCTGACTCTGTCCCCTGCTCCGCCTGTCCTCTCCATTATAGGCAGCACCAATGGCAGCTACACGGTGATGGCAGACGGCATGACATGCACGGACATGCACGGCATGTACGGGCTCACTCTAGCCCAGTTCCAGGCACAGAACAAGCACGTCAACTGCGACAACCCGCTGCCTCGCAACACCCGCCTTAACGTCACCTCCTCGCTGCCGCTCTGCTCCGTCTTCTACACTGCCGTGCAGGTAGGTAGTAGTAGCCCTTGTTGCCTTTGAGTGGACTCTCATGGCTGTAGGTCTTCCACACTCGTGTGCAGGTAGGTAGGCAGGTGGCTCTCATTGCTGGCAGGGAAACAGCACCAGTAGTGCTGCTTTGCCTCTCTCTCGTGCACTGCTGCTGTATGTATGGCAGGTGGGGTGCCGGTCAGCAACTTCCTTTCCTCATCACCTTAGTCTATAACTCATTGACTCTTTCTGCTCAAGTGCCAGATTCCTTTGCTTCCATGCTCCCACTCCACTGCAACCTCCTTCCCCCTCCCCCACTCCCCTTTCCCCCCCCAACCTGCCCCCCTCCGCTCCCTTACCCGCCGTGTCCAACCTTCACCTGACTCCTCCCCCATATAAACCCCTCCTCCCTGCAGGGCGACACGTGCCTATCCGTGGCAACCTATTTCTCTCTCGACGATTCCTGCATCCCTGTAGGCCATCCGTGTGAAGCGGCTTTCCAGGCGCTCAACCCCGGAGTTGACTGCACCAGCAACTCCGGAGCTCTGTCTCCTAGCCAAGTGGTGTGCGTGGAGCGGGATTCCTCGCCTCCTGCCGGTGGTGGTGGGGATGGGGGTGGGGGAGATGCGATGGTGCCTGTGTGCACGCAGACGTACATGGTGCAAGGAGGGGAGACCTGTGAGGCTCTACGTAATGTGCCGTCGCCGCCCCTCTCCCGCCTCAACTTCTACCGGCTTAACCCAGGGATTAATTGCGATAAGCTTGTGCCGCCCAATGGCGTGGGCGCAACGACTGGCTTCGAGGTGAGCTGGTTACCTGCTGGGTTGCGGATGGTAGTGTGGCTGCTCATGCTGTTGCTCATGCCGGTGCTGATGCTCATGCTCGTGCTGTTTCTGCATGCTGATGTGCCATGCCTTCTAGTTTCTCATCTCCTTGTCCTCCTCACCACCACCACCTGCACTGACAACGTACTTGTTGCATGACCTGTGTTTCCTGACTTGCAAATGCAGGTGTGCATACAGTCGGCTTCTTCCTACAGAGCGGGGTCCTGCCCTCGCTCCAACTTCCATATTGTTGTCAACAACGATCGGTGCGGCACGATTCAGTTCAAGTACTTTAAAGGGATTAAGAGCTGCTACAAGCGGATTAACGGATATGATTGCCTAGACAAGTTGAAGCAAGGAACTCGGATCTGTCTACCTGATCCAGTAAAGATGAAGAGGGGTAGATGTTCTATCTAGCTCAGAAACTACTCTAAATAAAGTGCTTATTTCGAAGGCAAGGCTCAGAAGGTACTGTAAATGTTCTAAGTGTCCCAATTTATTATTCTTCAAGCACCTTGGACACTCGTGTACATGGCAGCCTGGACAGCGGAAGGGGGGAACGGGGGGTGGAACTTTTCTACAGTGCTCAAGTTCTCTCGGTCCCTTCCTCCTCCTCCCCTCACTCACCTCCTGAATCGCTCATCGGAATTCAGGGTGACGCACCCCTTTTGCCTGGGACGACGCAGGGGGGTGACGGTCGACCGAGCGTCAGGGCGGCCAACTCCCTCGCGTGAGTCCCCCGCCAGGCTGGCGCGGGGCGGGGCTCTGCCCACGACCCCCGCCCCGGCCCCCCACCCCGAATTCCTACAGAACCCCACGTTGCAGCCGACGGGTGGCGAACTCGCGCGTGAGCGACGAGGGGCCTAGTTACCCCTTCACGGAGGCGGACATTCGCTTCGCGTTGCCCGCGAGGCCCTAGTAACCCTCTCGGGCTGCCCTCGCCGGGCAGGCGGGTTGGTTGCGAAATTCAAAGGGCCCGACCCCACCCTCGTCAACATCGCTGGCCCCTCGGGAGGGGACACGTGGCTCGCCCTCGCCACCCCGACCACCCCCACGCACGGCCCACACAAACCACCCACCTCCGCCCCTCCGAACCCCGCCCTCGAGGGCATGCCCGGTACGGGCCGAAGCCAGAGGCTCGCCCTCGGCCACGACGACCTGCCTCGTCCGCCGAGCTGCATACTAGGCGACCGACCCATTTCTTGATGGGGGGTCCCACTCCATCCCTCATTTCTCCTTTCCACCTTCGCTTTCCGATTTCCTCTGCCTCCCTGTCAGCTCTCCGAGCTCCTCCCCAAACCTTCCGTGATACCGACCGTGGTGTTAGCATGGCGACCAGTAGGATAGCACTACCTGCGACTGAATTCCCCCTCCACGTGCCAGTGGGCGTCGGTGGGTACGGGGTGACGCTTGAGATGAAGGACTACGAAGCCCTTCGCGACGAGAAGGCCGAGTTCACAGAACCTTGCTTCGACCTCGGCCTCGCGTGAGCGCGCATCCCTAGGTCGCGCTGTCAGTTGTTTAGGGTTCAGCGCGTTTTCGTCGGCGTCCTTTCTAGGTCGACGTTGGCCTTGTCGATTTCCCGTGTGGTCGACGATGTCCATCCGCGATGGACGTTTTAGCTGCGTCGTCTTATCAACTAGTCGACCATTGGCCCTACGTCGGTGACGTCCGTCATGCTTCCGGCGACATCGCCGTCGTGCTTTACCTTCGTCCGGCATGGATTGTAGCTCACCGCGCAAGTGTTTCGCTCCCGCCTTTTCGCCCCCGCTTGTCCCAGGTACGAGCTCGATCGTCTGGGAAAAGGCGACAGCATGATCCTGATCCGCGGTGCGAGTCTTCGCGCCGCCAGGACGGCGTCGAAGGCGGACTATCTGGTTTTCGGGTCGGCCTTCGGCTTCGAAGCCCTCGCCATCCCCCTGTGCACCGGGTGAGTGTTCCGCGCCCGCGAGGTTTGATCCACGCCGACCGAGTTGCTTGTTGTTCCTGTACAGAACCCTGAATGTCTCCGTCGTGCTTGTGTGGGCAGGGGCGGACCTCTTCCCGGCAGGCACTGCAGCGTCCTGCTTGTTGTGCGCCCTGGCGACCTGCTTTTGCCCGACGAGGAGGAGATCGGGACGTTCTACCGCCACCTCGACCCCAAGACCTCCTCCAAGCGGCACGAGGAGGAGGCGGCCAACGTTATGAGGTGGGACAACGTCGACGGCTAGTCGCGCCGCTCTTTAACGGCGTTCATGCCGCCTTGTCTGATGGCTCTTTCCCTTCTCGTAGCGCAGGTTTTTCGCCGAGTGCGCGAAGGCGGAGTTGAACCGTGAGGGAAGGCAGTGGACGGCTGCGCCTCCTTCCGCCGAAATCCTCTCCGAACGTCTGGAGAGTCTTGCCGCCCCCATCCGTGATGTGAGTTTCCAACGTCCATGTCGCCTTGTCGCCTGGGCTATCGTCGTCGAGGCGTCGACTCACCCTTTTCGTCGTCGCCATGTGCTTCGGATGTTGATGCAGAAATTGCCCGACATCCTCAAGGAGGAGGTCGCCGGCTCGGGGCTGTTGGCGGTCAACGCGTTCGCGTGGTCTTTGGAGCATCTCGACGACGTGTTTCGCAGCTACGATCCGCTCATCGTCGAGAACCCGAAGATGGTCGGCTTGAAGGCGCTCCGACTGGAGCTGCTGCACCACGCGGAGAAGGCCGCGTCGAACAGAGGGGAGGCGGCGTCGACCGTGGCCCGTGGCGTCGAAACCGGCATCGCTATGGGTGGGGAGGAGGAGCACGAGAGGGAGGACGTTGAGGGGGGCGGGGAGCACGACGGTGGCTCGGAAGAAGAGGAGGAGGACGTGGAGCGTGAGGAGGACGACGTGGTTGTCACCGGCGAAGAGGAGGCAGTGCAGTTCGCCGGTGAGAAGGTTGCGGATATGGGCGGCGGCAGCGGACCCAAGTTGGGCAAGAAGGCCCGGGGCAGCAGTGGCTTGACCCCGCCTAGGATGGCGTCAAAGGCGGCTATCGAGCGTCTGAAGGCGGCGGAGAGGGAGATCAAGAAGCTGAGGGAGGAGAAGCTGGTGGCGGAAAAGAGGCTGGAGTTCCAAACGGCCCGGAATGACACGATTTACGGCGTGGTCACCTCGGCCGTGAACAAGCTCACTACAGTCGCCGAGGGCGTGACCCATCTCGAGCAGACGTCGGGGAGGAGCATCCAGCTGGCGGTGGACGCTGTGAGGGTGGTCGTGCAGGAGGCGGTGAGCTATCGCGGCTCCACCCTCGAATTCATGAACACGCAGTGGCTGCCCACCGTGCAGGCCCTGCACTTGACGGCTACTGCTGCACAGGGTAGACGACGGGAGGACGACCTCCTGCTGCTTCGAGGTGTGGCAGATTCTCTCGGCCAGAACATCAAAACAGTCGTGTCTGCCGAGGTGAAGGCCGCCATGGAGGGCGAGGCGCAGCGGATCGCCGCTGCCGTGACTGCGAAGGTCGTCCAAGAGCTTAGGGACGACCTGGTGAAGGCGGTCACCTCCGCGACCCAACAGGGCATTGGCACCGCCGGGTTTAGCCTCCTCCCAACTGCTTTCGCGTCGGTGATGCACGGCGGTCGCGCAACCGCCGAGGAGAGTGGGCCGGCCCCAAGGCAGTCGGGGAAAAGGGTCGCCGACGAAAAATCCCTGACCGGCGACCAGACCAGCGGCTCTAAGCGAAGCAGAGGACCTGCGGTGAAACGCGGTGTGGGCGTGGATCCTCCTGCCCCTCCGTATGTTCGTATCCCCGGCGTCCACGACTTGCTGAAAGATGGACTTGGCGCGCGACCGAGCGAACATTTTCGACAGGTCGACGTCGCGCTCGAGGATCCTCAGTCGGTGGTCGGGAAGACCGGTGGGCAGCCCGTGGGGGACAAGCAGCCACAGGCCCCGACCGATCCGCCGAGCGCACACGACGCGCCACCGAGCTGCGAGCAGGTGAGTCTGGCCGACGAGCTCATGGGTCCGGCGACTGCACAAGGCGCTCGACCGAGCGGTGGCACGGCCCAGACGGCAGACGACATGCACGTCGCAGCGGTGGTCGGCCAGGCGCGCAGGGAGCCCGTTGCGGTCCAGCATGTTCAACCCTCGACGAGTACGCCGACTGCGCGACCGACCGGCGTCACAGCGCAGCTGCCCGACGACCTCCTGCGCCCCGCAGCGGTGGTCGGACAGCAGGGCGGGCCGGCCGGTGCGGGCCAGCATCTTCACCCGTCGACGAGCACGCCGACCGCACAAGACGCGCGTCCGGCTGGCGTCACGGCGCTGGTCGACGAGCTCTTGCGCCCAGCAGCGGTGGTCGGACAGCAGGGCGGGCCGCCAGGTACGGGCCAGCATACCCCCACCGCGACGAGTCCGGCGACTGCACGGGACGCGCGTTCGGCTGGCGCCACGGCGCTGGTCGACGAGCTCTTGCGCCCAGCATCCGTGGTCGGACAGCATGTCCAGCAGGCCGCGGCGGGCCAGCATCCGCACACCGCAACGAGTCCTGCCACTGCACGTGACGCGCGACCGGGTGGTGTCACGGCGCTGGTCGACGAGCTGTTGCGCCCAGCAGCGGTGGTCGGACAGCATGTCCAGCAGGCTGCCGGTGCGGCCAGCTTACCCGTTCATGGGGCCATGGTCGCCGCGGAACCCATCCCGATCCCAACGGCTGTTGAGTCTCGGGCGGTCGAGGCCCTAATCACTCAAAAGCCATCGTACGACGAGTATCTGAAATGGCTCGAGGATCAGGGTCACAAAACCCCGGTAATTCCTCCGACTCACAGCAACCAGGTGGTCGACCAAGGAGCAAAGGCAGCGAACGTCGCGGCGGCGACTGCAGGGCCGAGTGGGTCAATGGTGGAGGCGGCTGTGTGGAGAGCGGCGGAAGAGGCCGGCGGGGTGGACGAAGAGATCCTCGCCAGCATCGTGATGCCGGACCCGGAAATCGAGGTCATGCGGGAGAAACTACAAGCAGCAGCTCCCACCGTGGGAGCGCAACAGGGTGCACCAGCCGCCTCGACTGCTCCTGCGGAGGACCATAGCGCGGCTGGCGCCAAATCTCCCCCGGCCACAACCGGTGAGGTCGGCGATGGGAAGCAGAGGCGCAAGGGCAAGGACAAGGCGAAGGGCGGCCCGCCGAAGGTCGGCTCTTCCAAGGGGACGTCCAAAGCGGCCGCGCAGGGTCGGAAGGGTTCAGGCGTCCGCGTTGACCCTTCAACTGGGCTGGCCGTCTCGGAGATGAAGTTAGGGAAAAAGAGCCGTTACATCTGCCGGTCGATGGACAAGTCCGAGGCCGCCTACTGCATCGCTGTCGCCGTTTCGTCGTCCGACGGCTTCGTCAGCGACGTGGTTCTCGACGAGTTCGGTGGGGTTAAGGAGGAAGTGATGGCGCAGTATAAGGCGGACTGGAATGTGGCGCGATTGATTCCGGGGGGCATGTGGATGGTCATGTGGAGCCGAGGGGCGAACGTCTTCCGCGACAGGTAAGCTTGGCGAATGCTCAATTTGGTGCTCGTTTCGGTCGGTACGCGTGGGCCGGTCGGTGACGGTGGGTATTCCTGCTGTGTTTCGCAGGTTCCAACAGGTGGTCGCGGAATACAACAGGATAACCGGAGCCGACCGCGCAGCTCTCATGTTGGCTCTTCGCCCGGCGGTGTGGTTCGGCGACCTTCCGGAGTCGACCGAGCCCGAGAAGGCCGCGAAGAAGAAGGTGGCGAGCGACATGATCGCACGCGTTTCGATGTGTGCCGCCTTCGCACCGGTGGCCGCGAAAGTGTTGCCCATTCCGGGCGTCGGGTCGGAGCGGTTGTCCGAGATCCTCGCCGGTACTGCGGCCGCGGTGTGGTGTTTTTCGGAGACCAATGCCACGGCGGAAGTAGCGGCCGGCGAAGGGGGGGCGGCAGCGACCGTGCGCGGAGCGTCCAACGAGTTCGCGAGTCGGTGTCGGACCGTCATCGAGGCGGTGCTTAAGCGGGCGGCCTCTCGGGAGGTCGTCGTAGGGGAGGTCGCCGAAACGGTGACGAAGGACCTGCAGGCGGCTGTGCTGAGGTCGCTGCCTGAGGTCGGAGAGGAGCGCGAGCACGACGAGCTGATCGCCCGTGTCATGATAGAGAACCTCGCCTTCTGGGGGGACTGCAATGTCGGAGGCCCGAAGCTCAAGGCTCGCGGCGTCGATTTGCCTATCGACCCCCAGATGAAGGTTATCATTCGGGACAGGGGGGCGAGGGGGCAGCAGCACAAAGGGAAGCAGGTTGCCGACGCCTAGGTCGACGAAGGCTGGCCCGCCTGCTCGTAGCATGGTCGGCGTGGGTGCAAACGCTGCAGGCTTGTTGACCGCTGTTTTGTTGTTTTGTTGTGCCTCTCCGGCTTAGTGATGCTGAACTTGTTCGTCGGTAGTTTTTCAGAAACGTTGTGACGTAGGTTTTGTGGTGTGGAGTCGGTTTGATGCATGAACAACGGACAAACTTCAACTAATTTACAAGTCGAAACAAAGTTGCCAGTAAAAGAAAACCATATAGAGTCACTAGAACAGGTCGGACACGCTCAGCACATCCCCAGCCCACCCTCAGCCCGCCCTCAGCCCGGCCTCAGTCACACCACGCTCAGCCAGCAGCACAAGTCGGACCCAGACGCAGTACCCTCAGCCCGCCCTCTTGCGCTTCCCTGCGCCGATGGCTCCCACCGTCGCCTCGGCCTCCAAGCCGGCCTTATTGGCCTGCTCATCCCACAAGTCGCCGAAGAGCGTCTTTCCCCAGTCAGCGTCCATGTAGCCCGCCGTGACCACGCCCCACGCAACGGCGAGCTTCCTCGCCAGCGGCTTGTCCAGACCCTTGATGCCGACCGACTTTCCGTCGGCTGTGGTGGGGACCTTGATGGGCGGGGTTGCACGGAGGACCAAGAGCGCGTCGCTGAAAGTGGAAAGCCCCGCTCGCCCCAGGTGGTCGAGTAGCTTGATGACGGCGGCGGTGTCAGCGGCGTCGTCGCTCCGCCGCAAGTCGTGCACCGCTTCCATGATCCGCCTCATCCGGCGAGTGCAGTGCTGCAGCGCATCGTTTTTCCCCGTCTCACCCACCTCGGTCGTGGGACTAGAGCTCTTCGCCGACTTCGCCGACGCGGCGGGTTTGGCGCCCTTTTCGACCTTGCAGATCATGCGCGTGTGTCTGACGAGGAATCTGTGCTCGTCGAAACGTTCGCGCAACGGACGCGAGTCGAAGTTGGACGGGTTGTTCCACCAGCGCCATGCAGCCTCGACCGTCTTGGATGTGCGCCAGGGATGCACGACGTTGACCTCGTACGTCAGGTCATCCTCCTGTTCCTTCTCGATCTTGACGGACGCTGCCTTCTCGGCGGCCGTCATCGGCCTTGACGGGTCGGGCGCAGACGGCGTCGGCCGTGCCTCGGCCAGCTTGAGAGCCTGCATCAACTTCGCGATCTCCGCGTCCTTCTCCTCCAACTTCTTCTGCATCTCAAGCTTCTCGATCGCGGCATCCTCCCTCTGGCGGTGCAGCATCATGGTGAGCTGGTCGACCTGATATTCGGCGTCGATTCGCGCGCTGAATTCCTGCGATCCAAGGGGGATGGTCGGCAAAAGGTGAGCCAATGTTGCAGGACGACTTGTTTTGCAGGTCGCCGGAACGCGCACGCCGTACCTCTTGGGGGTTCTCGCTCGGAGTACTGCGCGTCGCGATGGTTTCGAGGTCCACCCGGTTGACGTCCTTGGCCCATTTTTGGAAGTCGGGGTCGCGGCAGAGCTTGGAACTCTGGACGTACGGGTGCCACGGTTCGCGCATCAGCATGCACGCAAGATCCTCGGCGACGATTCGGCGGCCGAACTCGATGAGCGATTGCAGGAAGTGCACCCCGGCCGTGTTGGGCTCTCTCGCGGATGCGCATTTTACCGCCTGCGAGTCGAACACAAACACAAACACAATCAGCCGTCGGTATAATGTCGTCGTGGAAATGGTCGGCGGGTTGTCGGCGTTATTGCCGTCCGAAATGCTCACCTTGGCCAGTTCCGCTTCAGCCCACGGAAAGATGTGCTGGGCGATGAGGGCCACCACCTTGTCGTCGGGCTTCACCATGCTCCGGCCGAGGTGGTAGTCGCCGCGCTTGCCCGTGTAGCCGGCCTTTCTCAACACCGCCGCCTTCGGGATGGTCGTGATGTAGCTCTTCGCGAGCTTGTCGAGCGCCCAGTGGCCCAAGTCGGCGATGTCAGATCGCGGAACGCCGTCGTCGGCCAGCTCCTGTGCCCCACCCGCCCGGGCGGCGTGGGTGTTGCGCGTGATGAAGATGTTGTTCGTCCGCCACATCTCTTTCGTGATCCGAGAATGAGATGACGCCGGCAGCTCTTTTTGTTCCTTGTCGTTCCGAGCATGAAAGAGGTGCTTGTGATACCAGCTGTACGGAGTCATGAAGTCGAGGGGCGGCACACATCGAGAAGTGGGCGATCGGCTGAGCTGGTCGTACACGAAGTGCAGCCACAACAGTGTGTGACCGACGGCGCACATCTCTTGGTCCAGGTGTCTCGCCGCGTAGCTGTGATGCAGACGAGCATCCTTGTTCGTCTTGGAGTTTCGTGACGCGACAACCATGACAACCGGCCGTCGAGTGGAGTGCTCGGGCGACGCGCTCCCCATTCTGTACAAAAACAGGTCGGGGAGCTCGATCGCTCGGAGACTGGCTCCGCGGAGAAGGGTGTGGTGAACTAAGAGGGTCATCGTCTTCATCAGCAGAAACTTCCACAGTGTCTGGGAGGGGGTGGCCGCTTTGGGTTCGTACGCCCGAGCTGCCCAGGTCGGCAAGACCTTGAACATGAGGTGGCGGATCTGGTCGGTGGTGTATGTGTCGCCGAGCGTTCCGCGGTGCCGGTCGACGCAATCCCTGCACATCAGTTTCCACGAGGACTGGGTTAGCTGGGCGAACCGGGAAACAGGCGCGGGACGACTTGCCGACTTACCTGTCGTCCCTGTGCCACTTCTCTCTGACCATCGCGCGCACCTCCGAGCGGACCTCGGAGATGTCGTACATGATGTGGAGCTCCTTCACCCCGAAGAGCGTCCCCTCGACCTTGCAGGCCGTCTGGAGCGCTTTGATGCGGATGAGCAGCATCGAAACGGTTGTCGGCTTCAGGGGCTGGACACGGACGTCGGGATTCAGCTCCTCGAGCTCCTCGGCCTTTGCAATACCTTCCTGCCTCGCGATTGACAGAATGTACGCCCTGATCCGCGTGGCGTTGACGCGGGGACTGTGCATCCATTGTAGGTCGCCCTTGGCGGTGTGCCACTTATCACCCATGTCTTCGTCGATGTACCTCCCTATCTCGTCCTCGTGTTCCAGCACGCCGTCCCCCTTGACTCTGGCGGTTTGCTGTCTTGGAAGGTTCGCGCAGCACCATCTCCTGAAGTCGAGCAGCGCCCGCAGGTACTGAATCCGGGTCGTTCTCGCCTCCAGCGTGTCGAGATGCCGGAAACCCCACATCATCCTCAGCAATCTGTTCTTCTTGGCGAGCTCTTTGTTGATGTCGAAGGCGGCTTCCGCAAAATCGTCGCGCGGAATGTTTTGCAGGAAGGCGTCATCTTTCTCGTCGGCTGCCAACAAGTCCTCTACGGTCAGATACATGTAGTCGTTTTCTGGAAATGGTCCAATTGGCGGCGGCTGCTCCGTGTCCGAACGCGGCGAGTACCGGTCCGGCCCGGGTTCGGGAGCCCCTTTCGTCCCTGGCGGTAGGGGGATGGTCGGATAGGCGGGAATTTTTGCCCTAGCGGCGTCTACGTCGACCACCATGTCGGCGGGAATATTTGCCCTAGCGGTGTCTACATCTTCCTCCATGAAAGGCTCGTTCAGGTCGGGAATCGCGCTGCTCCCCGCCGGCGGCGCGACGCCAGCCATCTCGGCGGGTAGAGTTGTTCCCGTCGGCCTCTAGTTGTCGCCGCGATCTCGCTGCGGTACGTGCTCAGCCCACCAAAGTCGATACTGCACAATCGCTGCCGTGTACTGCCTTCGCACCGTGGCCCTAAAGGCCGCCCGTCTTTCGGCCCTCTCAACGTTCTCGGCGATCGTCAACTCCGCGGCAATGTCGGTCAGTTCGGGAATTTCGGGAAGTAAGGGCGGCGGATTGGTGTTCTGCTGGGTGATGTTCGGAGTGGCCGTGGTCGGCGGCACAATGGTCGGCGGGGTGTGAAGTGGCAATGTATCGTTCGGCGGGGTGTTGTCCGGCGGGATGTTGTTAGACTGGTCCCTGACCATTGGAGGCCGCACGGGGGATCACCGGCGATGACAATACTGGTTGTGGGTTTGAAGAAAGAGGTCGGCGACTTTCGGTTGTTGTCGACCTAGTCAGTCGTCCTAGTCGGAATGATCCTAAGTCGGAAGCCCGTAAAGTTTGCCGACCTAAACGCACTCTACACCGGCGTGGCTCGTCGTCGACCCTGCACCGCGCGTGGTCGGTCGGTCTCCGAGAAGCGTGAAAATGAGCAAGGGAAATGTGGCCCACCAGAATGGAAATGAATGCAACGCAACAAACAAGTGTCGAAATGCCATGGACACTTGGCCGTCAGGGGGTCATAGCATAGAGAGGCACAGTCGCGGTTCGGGCGGACAGGTGTTGGCGGGCGATCCGTGGGCATGTCTCCAACTCTGCATGCAAGGCAGAACGACACGGCGGCGCAATGGTCGACGTTGCACGGGGCACTCATGTCTTTTACGCAGCCGACCGTCCGGTGTTCCCGTCACGGTGAACCGTGCTTACACGTCGGCGTGACGCAGCAGTGCTCATGGCGTCGCCCGACGATGGTATCCCGCGGGGACGTTCCCGCCAGCAGGCCGGCGAAGGCTTGATCGCCGCGTGGACAGACGTTTGCCGATCGATGTTCGCCGCGTGGAATGTTGTGTTTCGGATGGGCGACGTGTGGCTCTGCGCGCCAGCGCAGTGGCCGGCCAGAAATCGCGGTGGGCCTCACGTCGCAGTCCGCGCCGATGGCTAGGTGGACGTCGTGGCACGCTGACCGCGACCGGCGTCGTGGAGGTGTCGACCTCGTACGGAGGGTCCGTTGAGAGGTGCTATCGGGGTATTTTTCATCGGGATTGCCGGGCGACGCAGGGTGACGCTCCTTGCCGAGGACGTGCACTCAGTTAGCCGGACAGGATGACGCAGGGTGGCGGATCCCTTTCCCGAGCCGCGTCGTTTTTGCACCCGGATGTAGTCGGGGCGTTGAGATATACCATGCTGAAGAGGACAAGAAACAAGCGGCCGGCGGCTGGAGCAAGGTCACAGTTGAAGGTGGCGTGGCAGGCAGGCAAGGAGGAACTGCCCAGTTGCTACCATTTCTAGCCGATTTCTGAACGGAACTTTCCCGAATCCCGAGGCTCGGTTCGAAGCGTCCTGACCTCTTCTGCTCCGGTCCGGACCGGGCCAGTTTGGTTTGGTGGGCGCGATGGGCGAACTCGAGCTGGACTTCCGGGCAGGAAGGGGCAGGTGGGGGCAGGTGGGGGCAGGGGAGGGCAGGGCAGGGCAGTCCACCCCAGCCAGACCCGATCCGACCAGACCCGACGAATCTGCAGCATTCTCGCACACTGTGCACGTGATATGCTGCTTTTGTCGGTTAGTTTGTCAGATTTTCAGTGGGTTCGACTGTCGGTTCACCAAGGAGGAGGGAAGGGAAGGCGCGGAGCACCTTCCCTGCAGTCACCATTTATGACTTGCATTGTTCATTGCCAGCCACCATCTCCCTCATGTCCTCTATGGATTTTCTAAGGGTAAGTAGCTTTGGCAGGGGTACTACTAGCGACCCTGCGCTTTCAAGGGGACTACAGTGCCAGTAGCGGGCACTTTCCACCCCTCCGTGCCTCAGATTTCGGAACAGTGTGGCAACCGAGCCACCCAGAGTGTGGATTCGATTTGGAAATTGTTGACACGTGGGTGAATGTGGGAAGATTACTGTCTTGTTTCTACAACTTCCCTGTCTGAGGCGTGGAGGGGTGGAAAGTGCCCGCTACTGGGCATGTAGTCTCCTTCAAAGCGCAGGGTCGCTAGTAGTACCCCTGCCAAAGCTACTTACCCATTTTCAAACAGCACCTACAACATCACTGGATGAGAGTCTACGTGTTAGGGTGACAAAAACAGGCTGGCGCCGCCGTGCGCATCCGCCTTCCCGCTCCTCGCCCATCCGCCTTGCCCCATCCGCCGTATCTCTGCCTTCCGCCGTTCCGCTACCTTCCGCCGTGCCGCTGCCTTCCGCCGTGCCGCTGCCTTCCGCCGTACCTTGTCCGCCGCCTCGCGCCATCCGCCTTACCACCGACTCGTTCCGTCCCGTTTCCGAAACGTCCCGACCTCGTTTCGAGCCGCCCTGTTGAACTGCGTTCCAAACCAGAAATCGGGTGCATGGAAGCCGCGGACCCGCGCCGCCTCGCGCGCAGAGTCATGCGGGTAGCGCTCGCCCTTGCGCTGCTGCACGCCATGGTGGCGGAGCTTGCGCCACCGGGGGAAGCCACGGCCGCGGCGGATGTCGGAGGCGGAGTAGGCGGTGGACGCGGAGGAGGTGGAGGAGCTGGTGAAGGGAGGATAGCGACCGCCGCGGAGCGGAGCTTCCATCGGCGGAGCTACGATCCGCGGAGCTTCCATCGGCGGAGTCCGCGCGAGACTAGTCCTAGGCGTCGCCGGTCAGCGTATTCACTGTTTGCCTCCGCCGCGCAGATCATAACCGACGCGGACAGTAAGCCCATCGAAAAGCTACTACTATAGTACTACTCGTAGCACCTATACAGCTACTACTATTCCCCCTTCCAATTCCCCCCCACGCCCTCCCCTTCCGCCTCACCCTTTCATCTTTTGCCATAAAACTGCTCCTACCCTATAGTACTACTATCACCTTTTCTTTCCTTTCCCAGCCCACGGTCTCCTGACCGCGTTCCGCTTTCACTTCCGCGAATTCTTGGAGACTCCCTGTTTGAGTTCCGCCCACCCGCTCCCTTCCCAGCATTTCAGCATTTGCCTTTCTCCCGACAATCCGCCGATGCCGCCGTTTCCCCTCCACCATTATTTCCCTCTCCGCCTTTCCCCGTCCGCGGGATTCCCGCCGCTTGAATCGGCGCGCAGTGGCGGTGCTGGCGAACCTCAAGGCGGAGTGGGGTGCGTTTCCGGGGAGTGCCACGTGGCAGAGTGGCAGAGCATGCGCGCGGATGGCGGGAGTGACGTGCGACGAGAAGGGCAACGTGCAGAAGCTGTACGTGACCTGGCATGACCTGGCATGACATGGCATGGCATAACATCGCATGGCATGGGATGGCATGGCATGGCATGGCATGGCATGGGCTGACAAGGCATGGCATGGCATGGGCTGACAAGGCATGGCATGGTTGTGATCTGGAAACCGTGTTGCGTGCGTTCATGCATTCACTCCTTTCGTCCTAACATCATGCATATTGACCCTTAAGCAACCTGCTGTATCGCATGCCGCTCTCCTTCTCACCCCAATTCCCCCCTCTCCTCCCCCCTCCCCTCCTTCCCCGTTTTCCCCCCTTTCCCCGCCACGTTCCCTTCCCTCTGCCCCCCTTCCCCGCACTCCCCACACGCCTCCCTCCCTCCCTCCCGTCTTCCTACATGCCGTCCGCCTGCGTGCGCTGTGCTTGCTTGCTTGCTCTCCATCGTCTCAATATGCCGCATGCATGCACGCGTGCGTGCGTGCGTGCGTGCGTGTGTGGGCTGGCGCCGCGGCGTGGTGCGGGCAGCATGTTGACTCGCAAGCAGCTCACCGGCTCGCTGCCCGCCTTCATCGCCAACCTTTCCGCCCTCCAGCAACTGTGAGTGCGCTCGTATCCAAATACGTCTTTGTGTCCTCCCTCCCCTGAGAGCCGTCCCCTGAGAGCCCTCCCCTGAGAGAGTCTACGTGTGAGGCGCCTGATGCCCTCCAGCGTCCAGTCCAGCACGTGTGAGCTCTCGCTTCTGGGAATCCCTTTCCCCTCCTGCCATGAGACGATATTTCGGTGGCATCTGAAAGGCGAGAGGCAAGAGGCGAGAGGCGAGAGGTGCGCCATATCCCTTGCATTGCTGCTCTGCATGGCATCTCACGCATCATCCATGCGTACTTGCGCTGTGCACCATGGCTCTGCACTTCCGTGTACTCATCATGCATTGTATCGCACCCCCGTGCATTGCATTCGCACGCATGACATTCCCACTCATTGCACTGCCTTGCACTGCACTGCCTGCATGTGTGTGTGTGCATGTGCGTGTGTGCATGTGCGTGTGTGCATGGCGTGCAGGGATCTGAGCAGCAACAGACTGTACGGCCCCATTCCCCTCAACCTCACTACACTGCCCAAACTCCAGCTGCTGTCAGTCCTCTCCCACTCCTCTCCCACTCCTCTCCCACTCCTTTCCCCATTCCTCTCCCCACTCCTCTCCCACTCCTCTCCCCATTCCTCTCCCCACTCCTCTCCCCACTCATCTTCCCACTCATCTCCCCACTCATATCCCCGCCCCTCTCCCCACCCCTCTCCCCATTCCTCTTCCCGCTGATCTTCCCTCTCCTCTTGTCACTCTTCTACTCAACATCTCAAATTTCTTGCCAATTTCTCGCCTGTCTTATCAGAAGCGAGCCATACCTTTAGGCAACACCGGCAAGCCGAGGACGGGGCAGGAAGGAGAGGTTAGGAAGGGTGGTGAGAGTTTAAGAGGGTGTATACAAGGGGATAATTAGAGTCACCTTAAGTGTGGCGAGATGGTTAGGATAGGATGGAGAGGGCTGCTTGGAGGAGGAGAGGGGAGGGAGGGTGGGAGAGGAAGGACGAGAAGACGGTGTAAGGGGAAGAAGAGGGAAGGAGAGGTAGAATTGGTGCTTGCTTAGAGCTTGGAAAAGGGTGATATCAGGACGGTAGGTATCAGGAAGGAGTTGTATCCCTGCTCCCGTTTCTCCTCGCTCCATATCCCATCCCGCTTGTCCCCTCCCGCTTGTCCCCTCCCACTTGTCCCCTCCCACTTGTCCCCTCCCACTTGTCCCCTCCCACTTGTCCCCTCCCACTTGTCCCCTCCCACTTGTCCCCTCCCACTTGTCCCCTCCCACTTGTCCCCTCCCACTTGTCCCCTCCCACTTGTCCCCTCCCGCTTGTCCCCTCCCACTTGTCCCCTCCCACTTGTCCCCTCCCACTTGTCCCCTCCCACTTGTCCCCTCCCACTTGTCCCCTCCCGCTTGTCCTTGCCTTACTGGTTCAAATCCGTTTCCCTCTACGTCTTCCATTGGAATCTACAACCAACCTTTTCTCCTCCCTTTTTTTCCTCCTCCCCTCCTCCTCCCCTGCCCTCCTCGCACATCTCGCCCCATCCCACCAGCAACCTACGCAACAACCAGCTTACCGGCTTTCTCCCGTCCGACTGGCCGCCATCTCTCGCCACGCTGCTCCTAGACAGCAACTACCTCTACGGCCAACCCGCGCTCTCCTCTTGCCCCGCCACCCTCTCCCTCCGCTCCAACTGCCTCTCCTTCCCCCTACCCCCCTCCTCCTCCTTCCGCTGCGCTCGCCACCCCCAGCGTCCCCCCGCCGCCTGCTCCGCCTTCTGCGGCCTCGTCTCCCCGGATCAGAAGCCCTGCTCGGGCGCGGGAACGTGCCGGCTGGACAAGGCAGGGAAGCCCATGTGTGTGTGCGAGGACGGGTACGTGACCCGTGCATCGCCGGGGGCCTGCATGCCGGAGTCGCGGAGTGTGTCGTTGGCGCTCTCGCTCGTGGACTCGCCCTCTGTGCGCTTCAAGGGCTCTGCGTCCTTGCTAGGGGACCAGGGCTATGTGGTTCCTCGCGAGCCCGAGGTTACTGGGGTTGCTGGGGTGAGTGGGGCGGCATCTGTATCTGAATCAGGCGTGGAACCAGTGACATCTGATGTGCCGCCTGAGGCTTTGCTGGTGAGCCCGGGAGAGCGTGGGGCGTGGGGGGCCGTCACGCTGCTGCCGCTCGTCACGCTCTTCACCTTGGCCACCCCGCAGGACCCCTGCGGCCGCCAGCTGGCGTTCAACTTCTCCTTCTCCTTTGTCATGGCTCCTCAATTTACACAGCTCAACTCCTCCTCCTCCTCTTCCCCAGGGGACGGGGCGGGAGGAGCAGGAGCAGCAGGGGACGGGCTAGCCTTTGTGATAAGCGCCACGGAGCCGACAGGGGGGCCAGGCATGGGGTACAAGGGCATGGGCAAGAGGAGCGTGGCAGTGGAGCTAGACACGCGGAAGGACGCCAAGAGTGGTGACCCGGATAGCAACCACGTGGGGGTCAATGTGGGGGGAGAGAGCCAATCAATTGCAACAGCTACAATCTACGGTTTCTCTTTGAACAACGGCGACTTTCGATACGTTTGGATCATGTACGAACCGTTTAATGGTGAGCCTGTTGGGGGCACCGGCAACAGCAGCAGCAGCAGCAGCAGCAACAGTGGAGGAGGAGCGGGGGGGAGGCTGCGGGTGTTTGTGGCATCAAGGAAGCAGAAGCCGGTACAAGCGTTGCTGGACATGCCTCTGTCGCTCTGCTCCGTGCTCAAGCCGTCCCCGTCACAGCCCTCGGTGTTCTTTTCCTTCTCCGCCTCTTCCTCGTCGTCCTCCCCCCCACAGGCGCATCTTGTGCCGTGGTGGGAGCTACAGACAGGTGGGTGTGCGTGCGCGCTCGTGTGCGCATGTGTGTGCACAAGGGCCTCCGTATGCGTTTTTCTGTGCAGTTGCTTTGTGTGTGTGAATCAAGCATCCATCCATTAACATGCGCTCGCCTCCCCCATCTCTCCCATGGCTGCACTCCCCATTGCGGCCGCCTCAAATCTCCTCTCCCATCCCATCCCATCCCATTGCTCACCACCCAACCAGGCCCATCAGACCCCTGCTTCGGTGTGTCTCGCCTGTCTCCTACCAGCGTCTACTGCCGCACCAAAGTGTCTTCCTGCCCTGCCACAACCACAGGCTCTGGCACCGACGGGGGTGCTGCTGCTGGTGCCGGTGGTGATGCTGGGGGTGGTGGTGGTGGTGGTGGTGGGGTGATTGCAAAGCCGTTCATCCCGCCCAATGGATGGGCAGAAGGAGACGGAGGAGGGGGATTAGGAGGAGATGGCGGAGGGGGGCAAGAGCAGGGAGGACAGGCAGGAGGGTGCGAAATCGGTGAGTTGGGAGGAAGCATCAAGCTTTAACCTCCACTCCACATAAATCATGATTCATGAAGCATGAGGCATGGAGCATTGAGCACGGAGGCATGCATGGTTCATGGAGGATTTGTCATTGAGCGTTGCAGTAGTGTGCAGTGCGGGTGGCTCTGCATTGTCGTCCCGTGTATACTCCTCGTCCCCCCCCCCCCCCACACCCCCCTTACCCGTGCTTTATTTCCCTGTCTCTCGCCCATCGCTTATCTGTGTGGTTTGCAAGCGCCAACATTGAGCTCCCACCCCTGTGTGCTGACATCCGGGTGCGTGTGTCCATGTGTGTGTGCATGTGTGTGTGCATGTGTGCGTGCATGTGTGCGTGCATGTGTGCGTGCATGTGTGCGTGCATGTGTGCGTGCATGTGTGCGTGCATGTGTGCGTGCATGTGTGCATGCATGTGTGCGTGCATGTGTGCGTGCATGTGTGCGTGCATGTGTGCGTGCATGTGTGCGTGCATGTGTGTGTGCGTGGGTGCGTGGGGGGTGGGGGTGCGTGTGTGCATGCGTGCGTGCATGTGTGTGTGTGTGCATGTATGTGTGTGTATGCAGATGCATGTGGCAAGGGTGACAGGAACCCGTGTGGAGTGGGAAACTGTGTGAACGACGGCTACGGTGCATACACCTGTGTGTGCCCACCTGACTTCTATCTCGGCACTACAGAATTCGGCGCCCCTTCCTGCGCCCCAGGTGAGTACCCGCATTCCCACTTCCCTTCCCCTCTCCTCTCCTGCTTCTCGCATCCCGCTTCTTGACTAACAGCAGCAGCGCAATGCAATTTCTTACTCTCCTTTTTTTCCTCGAGTGTTTTCTAAGCAGCACTGCAGCTGCCCTTCCGACAATAAGGTGTTTTTCGACGATATCGTTCTGCTTCTTGCGTTCTGCTTCCTGAGGCGCTGCATAAATGCAGTAATATCCAACATTCTATGCCCTCCATCCCACACCTCCCATCCCACACCTCCCATCCCATACCTCCCATCATCCCACACCCCCCCATGGCACACCCCCTCTCCCACGCCCCCCAGGTATCAGTGATGACTTTTTCACAGTGACGGTGAGCACGATGCAGTGCTACCATTTGTACCCCATCTACTACCTCACGCTCGCCCAGTTCCTGCAGCAGAACCCAGTGCGTGTGTGGGAATGGTAGCTGTGTGGATGGGTTTGGATGGGATGGGATGGGATGGGATGGGATGGGCGCTTCCTTTACCTTACCCCGACTGTGGCGCTACCCCCACATCTGCACATTCCCCCAGCACCACGTGCAGTTGCTGGTATGGGACAAGCCCCTTTCCTTCACACAAGCGCCTCAAACACACACCCACTCACCGCAACTCTTCCTCCACCACTGTCTGCCTTTCAATTGAGTGCAGTTGCTGGCGTGTGACAAGCCTCTGCCCTTGGGTGCTGTGATCAGCGTGAAGCCCAGCCTTGACTATCAGCCCTGCTCCGTCTTCTACACCACAGTGCAGGTGGGCTTTGCTGGGTTTTAGTTTGACTGTAAGGTCATCTGCACCACTGCCTGCACCACTGTGTGGTTACATGCACTTCTCTGCCCACCTGCCGGCTCTCCCTGTGCAATCTGTTCCCACCAGCCTCAAACCTCCCCTCAATCTCAAACCTTCCTCTTTCCCCGCCTGTTCCCTTCTCCACCCTTCTCCGTCCCCCTTCCCTCTCCCACCTCCCTACACAACCCCACCAGAACGACACGTGTGAGTCCATAGCCGCCCTCTTCTCTCTCACCTCCTCCTGCCCGGACCCCTCCCAGCCCTGCACCACCGACCTCCTGAGCCTCAACCCGGGCCTCGACTGCTCCATCACCACAGCAACAACCACCACCACCACAAAAACAACAATACATCTAGGCAGCAGCAGCAGCAGCAGCAACTCTGACAGCCCCCTACCAACGGGGCTCTCTCTCTGTGTGAGGCGAAGCACGCCAATGGTGCCTCTGTGTGGGGAGTCCATGACGGTGAAAAGTGTGGGGATCGCGACGTGTGCGGCGGTGCTGGCGAAGGTGAAGTTTCCACCGAATACGCTGGAGCTCTACCGCATGAACCCCGGCATCTACTGCCACCGCCTGCTGTCACCGTCTAGGGACACGGGCTTCCCCGGCTCCGAGGTACAGCGGGGTGGTGGGAGGTGCGGTGCGTTGTAGTGTGGTGGGGTGGAGTGGGAGGTGGGGTGAGGTGTGGCGGGAGGTGTGGTGGGATGTGAGGACTGGAGGTTTGAAGGTATTCCCTCATGTATCGCGTCGCTCAGGCTTGTTCCTCCCAACTCCCTTCTCCTCTGATTGGACTCCTGTTGCTGTTGCAGATTTGTGTGCGCCTCAAAATGGGCATGACAATGGGGTCATGCCCTAGGACCGAGATGTACCTTGTAACAGATAATGACAGGTGCGGTACCATTCAGTTCAAATTCTTCAAGGGCATAAAGAGCTGTTACAAAGAGATTAACGGCTACGATTGCCTAGATAGACTGAGAAGGGGGACAAGAATCTGCTTACCAGACCCCGCCAGGATAAGGCAAGGCCAATGCTCAATTTAGAATGTTCTACTATGGTCATGTAACACAGAGAACTTATGCTGTGCATCTAGTCTCCCTCGTCAGTGGTACCTTCATCGCACAGATAGTAGACATGTATGTCTTCTCTCGTACACTACTCAGAATGCTTGGGTTATCTTGTATTTGGGATGGTTTATGTCTTATAGTTGGAAAAAAAAGTGAGAACTTTGTAACACTTGCAAAGTGTGTAGAAACCACCCTTGTACCATTATACCTTTGAATTAGGGTGACCTCGGTGGTGATGCATGCAGCGCCCCCACTTGCCACGTGAGGGATGCAGCAAAGCTGCCACTGCTGGCAACATCCCTCCGTGCTGGCAGCATCTAATGATGCTGCTAGCGTCGTTTTGCTGCAAGCAGCGCTTGGATGCTTCCAGAACGCTGCTGGTAGCATGATGGCAGCATGAGGGTTGTCCTCTTCGAGGAGATTCCTCGTAGAGAAGCGGCTCGGCACCTTTGGAAGGGGCATTGTGGCTGGGGGGGGTAGTCGGGCTTGAGCTTCATTTGGTGCTCAAGGAGGTTGAGATCTCAACTCAACCTCTGCTCTCGGCAGGCTTACCGTAACCATGCGCAGCAAAGTCCCCGCAGGCACGTCCTCACCTCGCCCTCACGTGCAGGTGAATAACTACAGGCGAATTAACTCGCTTGGTGATGACATCCGTGTAGCCATGGCGAAGAATGCGCGCAAGGCGGGAAGATCTACCACCGCCTCCCATGTGAGCTGTGACGGGGACGATGGCGACGAAGGACACGGCGGCGACGAAGGACACGGCGGCGACGAAGGATACGGTGGTGACGACGGCAACGGAGAACACGGCGACGAGGATTGGCCGGAGAACGGCCACGACGATAGCGCTTCGGGGGATGAAGTAGCTCCTGCCGACATTGATGAGGACGAATGGTGGAATCGGCCGGTTGGGAGCGACGACGAAGTGGAAGAGTGGCGGGCTGGTGATTCGGACAACGACGAGGGTGTCGATGCTGATGGTGAGCACGCGGAGGCAGCAGCACATGCAATGGGAGCGGAGGCTGACGACGAGGCGGATGCCGAAGCGAGGACGACGACGGTGGAGGCGGATGCGGTGAGAGATTCCCGCTCCCACAGATTGCTGCTCACAGTGGCCTCGTCACCTAGGCTGGAGTTAGCCGTAAATCAGTAACATGTATCCACTATAGCGAGCAAACAAACGAGAGAACAAGCGTATCGATGGTAGGCTAAGCTACTTAAGCATGCTCCCACTGTCGCGATGTACTCTGTGAACTGAGTAGTAATCGAGTCGCCTAGGCTCTGGATTGGCCCTTGCCGATTTCCTGTCCCCCAAGGTCCTTCCAATCTTCTCAGCTGTGATCCGCAACTTCCAATGTTACCAGCTTCGCGCAGTCTCTAATGTTCCAACCACCCCAGAACCCAAATTGCATAATATAATCTACACCACGCTACACCTCATTAGCAACGTCACAGAATATAATGCTCCTACATTATATTCTGTGACAGCTGTCGGAGATCCACCCTCTGTTGCCTCCCATGGCCTGCCTTCTCCTCCCAGCACTCATCCACCCTCCCTCCTTCTCTCTGCCTTGTCCTTGTAAAAGCTTCCCTTCTCTGCCTCAGCCCATACCTGCCCCCTCCAGAGCTCGTGCTCGGGTCTCCCGTGCACGAGGCACTGGACACTCTTGCTGAGGCCGAGGTACTTCTCACCACTGCAGTATTGGTGATCCCCTGCCACCTCTCCTCGCTCATGCTTTGGCATAGCACTTCCGCACCCCTCAAATCCGTCGCCTTCCTTCTCTGCGTGCCCGGCGCCGCTTCCAGAGTATCCTTCTGTCCCTGGAGGTAGACTTCCTCTCCTACTCCTACTGCTCCCTTTGTCCTTCTTGCCGTCCTGCTGCAGCCGTTGCTCTGGCCTATGTACATATCTCAGCTGCACTGTATGCAAGTCCTCCCATGCTGCCGTTAGCACTCCCCTCAGGTAGCCTGCTGCCTTGGCCCCCTTCAAGGCCACCCAGTTCTCAGCCTCTCCCCAAATATCATCTACTTCTTCCCCTGCTGGCAGGCACTCCCTTGCCCACACTTCCTTTCTCTCCCTCTCTGCCTCCTCCCGCTCCTGGGTCGTATCCCACACTGGACCCTCCCACCATGCTATCCCTGATTCCCCTTGCCACCAGTTGCTCGTCCTTTCAGCTGATACACCTGCCCTGACCCTCACCTCTTCGTTCTTCCCTTCAGCTTCTGCTGCTGCTGGTGCACCTGTCCATGCCCCAGCTCTTCGTTCTTCCTTACTGCTTCTGCCACTTCTGGTTTGCACTCCTTTACCCCCGTCTTCTCTTCATTCCCTTCCGCTTCTGCTGGTGTGCACGCCTGGACCCCCATCTTCTCGTTCTTCCCTTCTGCTTCCACCGCTGCTGGTACACACGCTTCTGCCCCCACCTGCTCGTCCTGCTCCTCCGCTCCCGCTGCTGCTGCAGGTACACACACCCCTGCCTTCATCTTCTCCTCCTTTCCTTCCGTATCTGCTGCTGCAGGTACACACACCCCTGCCCCCACCTTCTCCTCCTTTCCTTCTGTATCTGCTGCTGCAGGTACACATACCCCTGCCCCCACCTTCTCCTCCTTTCCTTCCGCTTATGGAGTTGCTGGTATACATGCCCATACCCCCACTTTACTCACACGCTCTCCTCGTCCGTCCCTGCCCCCACTGCGCAGCCTCATATCTTCACGGACACGCAGCACAGCATAGGAGCACTCCGGCTCCTAATTCTCCTCCTCCTCCTCTTCCTCCCTCGCATACCACCCCATCTCTTCCTTTCCTTTCAGCACCTGCAGTTGAGCTCGTAACCTCCCAAGCTGGTTTTCTATCTCCTCGACTGACTTTTCCGGGCAATCGCTTCGACGGTGTCCGTGCTTCCCGCACACATCACAGTTTCTGCAGTTTATATTGATGTGTCCTTTTTGCCCGCACCTGTGACGCGTACGGGTATCCGGCCGCCAATCTTGCCGCTGCTCTTCCCTGCCCTCAACCCCATGTGTCATTGCTGCTGCCCACGTAGGCCTCTTCCTCTCTGCCACCCTTGGTAGGTAAACTTCGTACCGCCTTTGCGCCAGTTCCACTTTCTCTGCGAGTTCAAACACTTCTTCCAGAGTCGCCTCTGCTCCTAGCTCGTACACTCTCATCCTCAGTCCACCGCTCCGTCCCTCATCCAACCTGCCCAGAAAATTGCTAATCAGCATGCTACTGTCCGTGCAGGCCACATCTTGCGCTAAATTGGTCAGCCTCCAAAAGTAGGTGAGTAGTGATTACACCGCACCCCGCATAAACTCCTGAAATTCGCGGATGCGGGCTGCCGTATGCCTGGGGAATCGCTTCCTCAATCGCTCCAAAAACAACATTGTGGGATCGTCCCTGTCCTCCTCCGCTCGCCGCAGCAATTCCCTCATCTTCATGCGGTACAGCGTCTCGGCCTCTCCCCCTAGTGTGTTAGATAAACTCAAGAAGAACTCTATCGGGTCCATCCCATATTTGTCACAGCGGTACTTGACGCTCCCAATCTGCATTAGGTAGTTCTTCAGGTTTGTACCCGATTCTGCTCTTCCCATGAAACGAACAGGTACCTCCATGCGCGGTGGCTCTACCGCATTCCATCTCTTGGTCCCCCACGTTCCTGATCCTCCCTGTCCTTTCCCGTTGTCTTCCCTTACCCGCTCCCTTGCTCCGTTGTTTCGTGCCCCTATCCCGTGCAGCACGCGCTATATGCCCTCTCTTGCTGCCCTTGCTCCCCCAGAGCCCTCCCACGGTGGCCTGTTCTGCCACTCTGTCCTCTGCTCCTCCCTCCTTGCAGGAAAATGTTCTTCCCAGCGCCCCTCCCTTCGGCCCGACCCGTAGCGTGCAAGTCTGCCACTCCCTTCTTCC